AAACACCTTTTTAAAAAAAATCATATGCTATCAGTCCCATTACACAAAGCAGCATAATATTTTACTAGACAATTTCCACTAACACAACTCTGGGGAAGAGAATGACACAAACAAGTTAATGAGGTTTAAACTAATTATGAAGTGACAATATTATTACTGATCATAAGATAATGAGTGGAAAAGTCATGTTCTCCTAAATGCTTGCCTTAGCCTTGTGACAAATAGCTCCCAGATGATATAATGGTGACTTTTTCTCAGAGGTTACCTGTGTAGAGCAGTATCTCTAAAACAGCACTAAAGATTGGTAAAAAGGGTAGAGAGAGGAAAAATGGAAACTCTTGACAGCTAGGGTAGGGGTGGACAATAATTTTTGACCCGGGGGTGGGGGCGGGGGAGTGGTGGGGCTTCCATGGGCCAGATCAACTCTCTTAGCAGGCTGGATCTGGCCCGTGGAGGCCCTTTTGCCCACCCCTGAGCTAGGAGCTGTTACAAATTATATCCCCATCCTGTAAAAATGTTGGCATGGGTTTCTCTTTTTGATTTAACGATGCATCTATCCATGCGGGATTGGGGCTTCAATGTAGGAATGTAAAATCCCCAATTAATCAGTTAAATGATACATTTAACTGGTTAGCTTCTTAACCAGGAACCTTCGGGTGAGTGGATGGAGATGCTGCTCCAGCCCAGTTGGGCTGCTCCAGGCCGGCAGGGCTGAGCCCACCATGAGCGGGGACTGTTCCGGCTGAACAGCATGACACAGTGGGGTGGACAGGCTGTTCCAGCCTGGCAGGGCCACTGGTTAATCAGTAACCGGTAAGCATCACCTGGTACCACAACAAAATGACCATTTACAAAGACATTTAAATGTGTAGCTATATATAGTTGAATGAGATCCACAGTACACAATAGTATTTATTTGGCGGGGGGGGCGGGGGGGGAGGGGGAGAGAGGTTGTGTGACCTGTTCAGCTCTACTATAATAACTGGTTACACTACCATATGGAGTATTCTCTAAGTGAAATTATCTTAATTGAGCCTATTTTAATGGAATGATGTAGTTAGAATATATCTCTTCTGTCTCCCCCTCCATAATTCAAATTTGAAAGCATTTAAATAAAAATGCAATTTAAAACAAAGCCATTAAGAGGTAAACACTATATTTTTATGTTTAAAACTATAATAACTGGTTACACTACCATATGGAGTATTCTCTAAGTGAAATTATCTTAATTGAGCCTATTTTAATGGAATGATGTAGTTAGAATATATCTCTTCTGTCTCCCCCTCCATAATTCAAATTTGAAAGCATTTAAATAAAAATGCAATTTAAAACAAAGCCATTAAGAGGTAAACACTATATTTTTATGTTTAAAAGCCTCCAATTTAAATCTCTGAGTAGCAAATTGGTAGGCTTCATCAGATTATTCTTTGCAAAAAATGTCCTCTCTGTCTTTTATTAATGTAAATTCTGAACACGTAACTTAAAGAAAATATTTTATATTTTACCCCAGGAAGACTCATTTTGTGTAGGGTGTATTTCCTTTAATTCTATTTTGTCCTTTCCTGATTTCAATGAAAAGAAGAATATGGAGAATTTAAAACAAATACCCATTGTGCTTTCTTATCTAAGTGCATCAGACACTCAATAACATTTTGTGTAGCTAGCATACATCTGAACAGCTATCATATGAGATCAATGCTTATTTACAAGGGCCGTGTGACTGGTGGATTTGTTGGCCAGAATACATCTCCCATTTCCATTGTATGCAACTATGCTGTCCTAATTGTTGGCATTTTAGTGTATGAGGATGGATACTGCCAGAGGAAGAAACAGTACTTCAATAATATGGAGTAGATCTAAAATAGATGCATGTTCCTTGGGATAGAGGTAATAGGAGTCCTGTAGTAAGACGTTATTTGTTTATCCCAATACATGTCTATGGCTGCCTTTTGTATGATATTTAAACAATTCATAAACTGTTATCACTTAAGCATTAAGTATGGGGCCCAGAGAGGGTGAGTAACTTGCCCAGTGTCATCCAGCAATATGTAGCCAGAAATAGAACCCGTCTCTGATTCTAGTGTTTTAACTACAAGGCAAGCCTTCCCCATAACTTCAGGATTATGATCTGTAAGAAAAAAAAATTCAAGGAAAACCTGATTTAGCCACTTATTAGGAGATGGAGGGGACGCCAAAAAGACTTTGTAACCAGAGCCTAATATTTGCAGTGGAATATGTTGCTTTTTTTCGTTAGCGCTTTTTTCTTCTGTGGGAAATTGTCTCTTTTACAAGTATGAATGCATATCAGAGCAACTGCTTTGGAACATGTACTAAAGCTGTACTGACTTTCCAAAGATTTGCTATACAGAGATGCACTTGCTGTTGAACTATGATTTGAATAGTCCTGGAGAGCACCTGGAACATGTTTTAAGTTCATCTTTGCATCTCTTCTGAGTACACATTTAGAAAAATGTACACTATTAAATAAGGGCAGAGTAATCTGCTTTCATTATCTCTATATTTATTGTCTTTCCGTACTGAGATGGTGATGTTTCTCTTTGTCATGAAAGGTTTCAGAAGGTTGAAAAAGCTACCAGAGGAGAAGCTGTTCTGGATTTGATTTTAACAAATAGGGAGGAACTAGTTGAGAACTTGAAAGTGGAAGACAGTTTGGGGGACAGTGATCATGAAATAATAGAGTTCATGATCTTAACAAAACGTAGAAGGGAGACCAGCACAATTGAGGTAATGGATTTCAGGAAAGCAGATTTTGATAAGCTCAGAGAACTTGTAGGTAAAGTCCCATGGGAAGCAAGACTGAAAGGGAAAAACAACTGAGGAGAGTTGGAAGTATTTCAAAGGGACGTTGTTAAGGGCCCAAAAGCAAACAATTCCGCTGTGTAGGAAAGATAGAAAATATGGCAAAAGACCAGCTTGGCTTAACAAGGAGATCTTGCATGATCTCAAAATAAAAAAGGAGTCATATAAAAAATGGAAACTAGGACAAATAACAAAGGATGAATATAGGCAAGCAACACGGGAATGCAGGGGCAAGATTAGAAAGGCAAAGCCACAAAATGAGATCAAACTAGCTACAGGCATAAAGGGAAACAAGAAGACCTTTTATAAATACATTAAAAGCAAGAGGAAGACCAAGGACAGGGTAGGCCCACTGCTCAGTGAGGAGGGAGAAGCAGTAACAGGAAACTTGGAAATGGCAGAGATGCTCAATGACTTCTTTGTTTCGGTCTTCACCGAGAAGTCTGGAGGTGTGCCTAACGTAGTGAATACAAGCAGAGAGAGGGTAAGTTTAGAAGATAGGATACACAAAGAACAAGTTAAAAATCACTTAGGAAAGTTAGATGTCAGCAAGTCACCAGGTCCTGATGAAATGCATCCCAGGATACTCAAGGAGCTGATAGAGGAGGTATCTGAGCCTTTAGCTATGATCTTTGAAAAATCATGGCAGACAGGGGAGATTCCAGAAGACTGGAAAAGGGCAAATATTGTGCCCATCTATAAAAAGGGGAATAAGAACAACCCAGGAAACTACAGACCGGTCAGTTTAACGTCTGTCCCAGGGAAGATAATGGAGCAGGTAATTAAGGAAATCATATGCAAACACTTGGAAGGTAATAAAGTGATAGGGAATAGCCAGCATGGGTTTGTGAAGAACAAGTCATGCCAAACTAATCTGATAGCTTTCTTTGATAAGATAACGAGCCTTGTGGATAAGGGAGAAGCGGTGGATGTCATATACCTAGACTTTAGTAAGGCATTTGATACGGTCTCGCATGATATTCTTATTGATAAACTAGGCAAATATAACTTAGATAGGGCCACGATAAGGTGGGTGCATAATTGGCTGGATAACCGTAGTCAGAGAGTTGTTGTTAACGGTTCTAAATCCTGCTGGAAAGGGATAACAAGTGGAGTTCCTCAAGGGTCTGTTTTGGGACCCATACTGTTCAATATCTTCATCAATGATGTAGATATTGGGATAGAGAGTACGCTTATTAAGTTTGCAGATGATACCAAACTGGGTGGGGTTGCAACTTCTTTGGAGGATAGGGACATAATTCAAAATGACCTTAGCAAGTTAGAGAAATGGTCAGAGGTAAACAGGATGAGGTTTAATAAAGAGAAATGCAAAGTGCTCCACTTAGGAAGGAACAATCAGTTCCATACATACAAGATGGGAAGCGACTGTCTAGGAAGGAGCATGGCAGAAAGGGATCTAGGGGTCATAGTGGACCACAAGTTGAATATGAGTCAACAGTGTGATGCTGTTGCAAAAAAAGCAAATATGATTCTAGGTTGTATCAACAGGTGTGTTGTAAGCAAAACTCGTGAAGTCATTCTGCCGCTCTACTCTGCACTAGTTAGGCCTCAGCTGGAGTACTGTGTCCAGTTCTGGGCGCCACATTTCAAGAAAGATGTGGAGAAATTGGAAAGGGTACAGAGAAGAGCAACAAGAATGATTAAAGGTTTAGAGAACATGACCTATGAAGCCAGGCTTCATGAACTGGGCTTGTTTAGTTTGGAAAAAAGAAGATTAAGGGGGGACATGATAGCGGTTTTCAAATATCTAAAAGGGTGTCACAAGGAGGAAGGAGAAAAATTGTTCCTCTTGGTTTCTGAGGACAGGACAAGGAGTAATGGGCTTAAAGTGCAGCAGGGGAGGTTTAGATTGGACATTAGGAAAAAATTCCTAACTGTCAGGGTGGTCAAATATTGGAATAAATTGCCAAGGGAGGTGGTGGAATCTCCCTCTCTGGAGATATTTAAGAACAGATAGACATCTGTCAGGGATGGTGTAGACGGTGCTTGGTCCTGCCTTGAGACCGGGGGGACTGGACTCGATGACCTCTCGAGGTCCCTTCCAGTCCTATGATTCTGTGATTCTATGATTCTATACAAGTGGATTAATAACGAATGAAATGTCTGTCAAGATATATGTTTGACAAAGACATACTAAATAAGTTGTCTTTTTTCCTTAGATCCCTTTCAGTTACCCGCCAAAAATGAGCCTGCAAAAGAACAGACAGTTCAACCAGCTATAGCACGGAAACCTACTGTGATCAGAATCCCATCTAAACTAGGGAAATGTAAGTTCTTCATATTTTTATTTCTTATCTGAAGTTTTCAGAGAAACTTCAAAAAGAAATAATTTTATCAAAGTTTGCTATTGAAATTCTGAATTACTTATAGCTATTTTTGTTAATGGCTAGAAAAATCTTAGCCAAAATAATTTAATCTCTGTCATTATTAAACAGCATGTTATGTTTCCATTTTTCTAGAAAACTGTAATTAAAGATTAGTTTAATACAAAGGTGCTAAGTTTGTTTTACCACCAAACATAGACACTTAAATATAAGCTAGCACTGAGTAACTCTTACAAAGCTAGAAAGCTGCACAAGGAGAGGCATTAGAGGTGTTGGTGTTGAAATTTTCAATTTATTAAGTACTTTTTGCATGTTGCCAAGATGTAGATTTAGTAAACAACACATTTTCATCCTGGTGTTCGTTCCCCAAAAGAGAGGTATCATCACATCCCTAGTAGCTGGGCCCAAAAGTACAAGCAAAACCCACATTCCTCTACACTGTGTCAAATTTTTAGTAGTAGGGTGGCCTGGTTTTAGCTTCTCTTAAATATTTACATCACTATTTCCAGAAGAATGTTTACTTTTTCAGTGAAATTCTATGTTTTTTTAGATAAGAAATACCGTGGAAATAGAAAAATACAGGGGAAAGTTTTTAAAAACTCAAAATACATAATAACCTTTTTGGTTTGCACAGTTATGTACTCTCAACTGTAAGAGCCTGCCTAATGAAGGCAGATAGATGTGTTCCACGTTTCCAGTGTGATTCTCAGGTCTTAGTGTCAAGACAAATTTGTTTTCCCCTTTAGCTGAAAGACAAACAATACAGTCTCTTGCTGCTCTCTAGTGGTAACTAAACTGCCCTCCAGGGTCTGTCAGTCATGCTCTGTCAGTGGGTGTAGTGAGGTGAACATCCACTCAGTAAGAGACTAGTGCTGGGAAAGAACTGGGAGGAAAGTGTGGTTCCCAGTAAGCAGGGTGGCCTATGAGGCTGTTCAGATCCCAGAGCAGAACCAACTATCCCTATTTATCAAATGTGAACTCTGCAAAAACTAAGGCTACGTCCATACTGAGAGCTAGGGATGTGATCCTCTGTTCATGTGCATGCATGTCTGTGAGCTCTCACTGAGATAGTACAAATACAAGTAGTAGTGTAGCTGTTGTAGCAATAGCAGAGGCATGGCTTAGCCATGCTTAGTACACACCTTCCTGAAAACAGTGATACACGCTTTACTTGGCTAAGCTGTACTTCTGCTGCCACTACCCATGCTACTGTGCTTGTCCCACTATTTATATTCAATGAGAGCTAACATAAATATTAACATGTGAGCTATGCTTCTCCCACCTACCCAGCTCCTGATGTAGATGTAACCTTTGAGTCATAAAGATTATGGTCAAAAGGGACCACCAGATCATCCATTCTGAACAGGCTACCAATGTCACCCCTCTGCCAAGCCCAATATCTAAAGAATTACAGCCTTTAGGAGACTAAGCTGTTATGTGCCAAAGGCAAAAAGCAGGAGGGACTGAGGTGCATCCCTACTTGAGGCCCTTGCACTGTCAGGGAATTGATATAGTGAGATAATATCAAGATTCATAGACCCATACAACACTAGGACTGGAAGGGACCTGGAGAGGTCATCGAGTCAAGTCCCCTGCCCTCATGGCAGGACCAAATACCGTCTAGACAATCCCTGATAGACATTTATCTAACCTACTCTTAAATATCTCCACAACCTCCCTAGGCAATTTATTCCAGTGTTTGACTACCCTGACAGTTAGGAACTTTTTTCCTAATGTCCAACCTAAACCTCCCTTGCTGCAGTTTAAGCCCATTGCTTCTTGTTCTATCCCCAGAGGCCAAGATGAACAAGTTTTCTCCCTCCTCCTTATGACACCCTTTTAGATACCTGAAAACTGCTATCATGTCCCCCCTCAATCTTCTCTTTTCTAAACTAAACAAACCCAATTCCTTCAGCCTTCCCTCATAGGTCATGTTCTCTAGACCTTTAATCATTCTCATTGCCCTTCTCTGGACCCTCTCCAATTTCTCCACATCTTTCTTGAAATGCGGTGCCCAAAACTGAACACAATACTCCAACTGAAGCCTAACCAGCGCAGAGTAGAGCGGAAGAATGACTTCTCGTGTCTTGCTCACAACACACCTGTTAATGCATCCCAGAATCATGTTTGCTTTTTTTGCAACAGCATCACACTGCTGACTCATATACAACTTGTGGTCCACTATAACCCCTAGATCTCTTTCTGCTGTACTCCTTCCCAGACCGTCGCTTTCCATTCTGTATGTATGAAACTGATTGTTCCTTCCTAAGTGGAGTACTTTGAATTTGTCTTTATTAAACTTCATCCTATTTACCTCAGCCCATTTCTCCAATTTGTCCAGGTCATTTTGAATTATTAACCTGGCAAGTGACCTGTGCCCACATGCTGCAGAGGAAGGGGTTTGTCTTTCCCCTCCTTGTACCCCTTCAGGATCCTTATCAGTCTGACCTGAGGAAAAAAAAATTCCTTCCTGACCTCACATATGGTAGTTGGTTTAGACTCTGAGCATGTTAACTAGAACCAGCCAGCCATGCCACCACAAGAGAGAATTCTCTGCGTCATCTCAAAGCACACTTCTTTCAGTGATCCATCTCCAGCTGCAGCCATCCCTCACACTTCAGAAGGAGGAGACAAAAAAATCCAAACAACAAACAAAACCACCCTAGGCTATCATGGGTTTCAGTCTGACTCATCTATTGCTGCACAAAAGCCTTGTGGTCATGAGGGGATTGAACTGGGAGAGCCCTATCTGCAGAAGTGATCAGGCAGCAGTGATTCAAGAAGACCTCAGCTCCACTTGCTGTGGGGGAGATAGCGTCTGTAGGTAGCCAACATAACACAATAAGTGAACAGCTCTGTCAAAAAAAAAGGGGGGGGGGGGAGGAAAGGGCTGGTGCCTATAAGCTTAATGATTCAGCACCACAGCAACTCCCAGTCTTTGAGCTTTTGTGAAGATCTAGTTGGGAGTTAAAACTGCTCCCCCCTAAAATGTAAAATCTGAGAAGAAACAGAAGTGAAAACATCACCTGTCTTCTGATGTTTAAACTCTTAGAGTTGGCAATATTGTTTATGGAAGGGATGTGCAGGAAAACTAGGCTATCTGTATCAGTATCGGGATTTCAAAGAGGTGTGTAAAAATAAATCTCTAATGCTCTTTTAAATCACTGAGGGTATGTCTACACTACAGTGCTAATTTGGCAATATTGTTTATGGAAGGGATGTGCAGGAAAACTAGGCTATCTGTATCAGTATCGGGATTTCAAAGAGGTGTGTAAAAATAAATCTCTAATGCTCTTTTAAATCACTGAGGGTATGTCTACACTACAGTGCTAATTTTAACTAACTTAGTTCGAATTAGTTAATTCAAACTAAGCTAATTCGAACAAACGCATCTAGAACTAAAAACTAGTTCGAATTAGCGTTTTGCTAATTCGAACTAGCGCGTCCTCATTAAGTGGACCCTGAAGCGGGGTTAAGGATGGCCGGAAGCAGTGCTGGCAGGGCATCAGAGGAGGACTTAGAGCAGTGGTCCCCAACCTTTTCAGG